AATACAGGATCGGGCAAGTATAACCCTACTCTTTGAAATATTATTTAACTTTCCTGGATTTGCTACGAGAAACAAAAGGAATTTTGTGGGGGAGCACATTGGAAGGGTGTGAAAATAGAAAATAATTTTCCAATACTTTTTAGTATACAAATAATTTTTTAGCGTTTACGTATCTCCAGTAGAGTGATTCTGAGCCAAAAATTAATAAAATTAATATTTTCACATATCATTTAATTATCACAAATCACAATATTTTATTATAAGTTTGTTTCGTTGCTTTTTTAATTGATTCACGTAGTTTTGTAGGCTAGCGGGTTTTTATATTTCATTATTCATATATTTCAAGCTATTTTACTATAGTTAATTTAACAATTTTGTTGTGTTGTGCCATAGCACACGTTTTCCCCTACTACCTCCGCGTACCCGTGCGAAAACTCTCTCATGTTAAACCCAACACGTTTCTCTATCCTTCTATTTCACTCTAGAGGGAAGTTTGTTAACAACACGTATTTATTTTAAAATGTTTAAAGGTAACTTGTGTTATACTAAAGCATATCAAATAAGAATAAAAACAATGCAAATTGATGTGAAAAAAATTTTCACTAAAGATTTATTCAGAATTATCGAGATATTTCTTGGAACAATTCTCAACACTCCCGTCAATATATTTCAAGACATTATTCAATATTCTTCGACAGCGTTTCTCTTTTCGTGATAGACACAAAAATAGTAGTTACGTTTTTTACTCTAGAAATATACGTGACTGAACATGATGACTTAAAAGCTTTACCGAAACACTGCTGATAACAAAAATATTGGTACTAGTAAAATACAACCCAAACCTATCAAGACAAGTTTTCCATCTTCACTGCACACACACATCCCACCATAATTAGGTACACAGCACTTGTAGATCTCAGCAAAGCAAAACTAATGACTGTCTTCACTATACGTATAAGAAACGATCTTCATCAGTATCAAGGAACTGTATTTTTAGTTGTTGCTGAAGGAGCGAATTTTGAATTAATAATTTTGCAAATAAACCTCGCCAGTTTCCGCAAACCACGGTATACACAGAGCGTAAATAGTATAAGATAGAGAAATGTAAGCATTGTAAGCGCGATATCACAAAGATTGCTACCATCACCAAGAGTAGAAATCTAAGTGGCATTGGTAGTATTGATAAGTGCCGAACCAGCAAAAATTCAATAGAATGTCCAAGAATATCTTCTCCTGTAGATTATGGTGTAAGGAACGGTTCTTTGAGACCTTCGGCATGAAAATTTTCTCGAAAGAAAACTAAAACAGAAATAGTATCTGGCATAACTACGGAAAAGCAGAATGACTCTTATAGAGGAACTGTTTCGTTTAAAGCACCCCCAAACATCATAAAGTAACTTAAAGAAGAGTCATGTCATAACATCTAAAAATGATATCCTTTCATAACTAAAAGTTCCAAATAACGAATTAATTGTGGTATCTTGTTATATAAAACTATCGTTACGTATTCTCTTGTACATGACTGCCCAATTAGCTGTAATGCCTCCACGACCAATCTGAACAAATTTCCAATAATTCAAAATAAACTCCATCCAACATTTTACCTGCTCCGTGCTTTATGTCTATTATTCATAATGTCAACATTTCACAATTAATTCTTAAATAATTTAGCTATCGGTAGAGATAAATTCACTTCATTAAATTTTTTCGAACAATTTACCTGATAATTAAATTGTGGAATCTTACCTCTAAAGTATATTTTACATTATAGACAAGAAGGCATGGAAGGTAGTCAGATTATTGAAAATTTAAACAGTATTTCTACAATTCTCCTGATATTAAATTAAAATTAAACATATAAGGAGATGGAAGAATTTAGCTTAGAAGAAAACATGATTCCTCCTGTACAAAGATGCTTAGAGATTATAGTATGGTTACAGAATGAAAATGGTTTTTAGCAGTTTATTAATTAAAGCATGACCTGTAACATCTCACTTTGTTGTAGTCACGAAGATTATTTGATTCAGAAATGACAGAATAGGTTACTTATAAATATTGGGAACTACTGACAAATCACAATTTAAAATAAAAGAATCACAAATAAAATAATTCTAGAGAAAAGTCGTCAAGTTCGAATAGCATACTCTTATACCGCAACATAAAAAGCTCTGTATCTAAACGAGACCAAATAAAATTTGACGCCAGCTGTTTTCATTCTCCAGTGTATCTATTTAATTATTCGTTTGGAATTCAAAACGAAATTTATTTATCTATCTATTTATTTACCGCCCAAAATGTTGAAAACTGTGTGACATACAATGTGGAGATGTGCAATATGGGCGAGAGCGAGTCTTGGAGCGGAAAGAAATTTTGCTATTTGAAAACACGTTTGCTGGTTTATGTATTTTTATAATAGCGGAGCAGTTAGAAATAATGCGAGGAAGTACGTAATTTTGTAGCTTCACTAGCTGATAGTAGTGACAAGTCGTTTTAGTAAATAAATACATTTGTTATATTTGAAGAAGCCAGCAATATTTCGATTTTCGATTTCGAAGTGTTAATTTAAAAACATAGACTAATCAAAATCTGATACAAATGTTCCCGAATTCAAAAATTTTTTCAAATATAATTGTTTTATTTGTTATATAATATTTGTTTTAAAAGTATTGGTATGCTTACATTGTGAAGGATTACAATTTTGCAATGAAATTTCATTGCCTATGTGATACATGTTAACTGTTACCGTAATGAAACACTGGCTATTATTGTTGTGTGTAGTGAAAATGGAATAATATGACATGTTCATTTTGTAGTTTTCTATGCATTGACGTAAGAATTTAAAAATAAGCAATTGTACTGCATTTATAAACGATAAAATTTCACAAATTTGAATTGACGTCCTCGAATGAGCTTCAATTTATTAGTAGTTTGCACTTCCTTATTAGGAGGATGAGGAATAAACCGATTTTATTCCTATAACTTCCAACGAATGACTGAGCGCAAGTACTCGCATTCGAATATTAAAGAATAAAAACAAGAGCTTAAGCACTGTGCGCACAAGGGAACTTGTTACAGTATCATGGATCTGGTATACTGCAACTATTCTTTTTTTCGTGTAGAGCCTGACTGTTTGTTTGATCTTTTAGGTTGCGTAGTCCCATAAGTGTAACGAATGTTGTATCCCAGGATGTGGATGTGTCCTTTCCCTTCCATTGCCAGATTGATTATTTGATGTTTCTGAGCTTCTAAGGCCATTAGCTCCATGTGTAGTGCATGTTTCCTGTGTAGATGGCTAAACTCTTCTCCTTGTGGATGGCGAGATTGGCGCCGACCTGCGCGTCGGCTGGCGGGTTTTCCCTACCAGGGATCTCTCGCCAGCGGGGCACCGCCCCAGGCGGGAGAAACTTCGAGCTTCTCAGTGTTCTCCAGACATACGTTGTAATGTAGTGCAGGTGTGTGTGTGTGTGTGTGTGTGTGTGAGAGTGTGTGTGTGGGAGTGTGTGTGTGTGTGTGTGTGTGGGAGTGTGTGCGTGTGTGTGTGTGTGTGTGTGTGTGTGTGAGAGAGAGAGAGAGAGAGAGAGAGAGAGAGAGAGAGAGAAAGGGGTGGAGATGAAGCAAGGAATGGGAAGGAACAATCACGCGCAGTATATAGCGCGCTTGTTAGAGTATCGTTTCGCCATTCGCCTTATATTGAGCGGAAAAACTACGGAAAACATCAGAGCAGCCGGCCGCTAGAATTCTCCTCCTAGCAGAGGTTGAATTCGACCTAGCTATCTAGCTGCTGTCGAAAATATTGCCACCGTCGGGACTCGAACTCTACATCCTCGCGGTCAGAGGCAGGTTATGCCCTGAGCCACCTCTCTCGATCTGCTGGTGCGCGTGATCAGGCGCAGATGCGCCCAGAAACACCAATCTATCAATAAATAGATGTATTCCTTTTAAGACATCATCTTGGCGGAGTGCTCATCAAGATGAGGACAGACAGAACGATTACGATAAATATATATTCCAATCCAATCTACAATGAAGGTAAGACGATAAAATATGTGTTGAGTTGGAGAGAAGACTTTATTAGAGACAAATGTCAATGGTGATCTTTGCGGCCACGGGGAGCGCCAGCAGCAGCGCCAGCGGGATCGGCAGCGGCCTCTGTAGACTGGGAGCCGAACCGTGCGCGCGCAGCCACTTGAACTGCAACCGCAATGTGCACAAGAGAAATTGTTATCAGCCGCTCCGGATGGCCGAGATCGTTAAGACAATAGTGCCGTAGTGATCTCCGACCGAAGAATCCAGGTTTTGAGAACCGCCTCGGGCATGGTTGGATTTGTATTCGCCCTTTCACCTCCCTATTTTCACCCTGTCATCTTCATAGTTACTATACCGTTAATGCAATAGTGATCGCTAATGACCTAGATTTGATGCGACCTTAAGTAACATTAAGAATTGTGATATCCATTCTCCTGCCGCGTGATTGCGCTAATGCAGGCGCCAACACGCCATTAATTTGTTGGAAAATTAATCCATTGTAACGTACGATAAAATTATCCGCCATTACGCCTTGCCTCACTGTCTCCTGGAAAATAATCTGCAACGTCCGTTCACAGTGTGATCGTTTCTTTTAATTCTTCCGCCTGCCAAGGCACATGAAGAGGCCCGGGTTGGTAAATATACTTCGGTTATTATAAAGTGGCGCGACAAGATCTTTCTTCACGATGGAATATATCATGTCTTTTCTCGTGTTTGTCCGTCGTGGTGCTGGATGACTTATGATCGCGACCGTATGAAGTACTGCTGCAACACATCGCGAAATGCCGTGCCATATTCCAGCGTGAAGACAGGCCTTGACGCATCACATTACAGAAACCGAAGTATAAATGCACGAACAACCTAGCCAGCTAGTCATACTCGAAACTTCCGTGATAAATAGATGCGTTTCCTGATCTTGCACACGCATTGCATTATATTTATCAGTTAGTGTATGTACAACAATACATACTTACGTGAATGTCGACTCTTTGAAAAACGCCTGGTTTATATTTGGCCGCACACCCAATTCCGTAGGAGATGATACCTGCTTGATATCCTGAGCACATCAGCGGGCCTCCGGAATCACCCTGGTGAGGCAAAAAGGGGATAATGCAAAGAAGCAGGAAATAAAACTGAACATTGCATAATAATTACCTGCGAAGCAAATTAATAATTAAAATAAACAGTGGAAAATAAAAGATACATTGTGTACTTCAGCAACAAAAATGCTGCTGTTGATATTTTGAAAAATGTGGACTATGAAGCAGATAAAATTCTGAGAAGCTATACGTGAATACAGGTTCTTTTTTCTTCTTCTTGATTTTATTGAAAGCAATAACGCATTGAGTATGAGAATATAGCCGCAATAGGAGTTATAAGAAATTGCGAATTAACATTCCACCCTCTACCCTTCATTTCCATGGACATACAAGGTATGTCCCCAAAATAATGCATCACATTTTTTTAAATATTTTTTTTAATCAGATAGGTTCAGTAATAAAACTCTTTAAAGTTTGGCTCTCGTGCGCGGATGCATTTTTGCCAGAGCGATTGCCATGTCTCGTACGATCCCAGAAATCCTCGGCGAAGAAGTGTTTTAGAGCCTCCGTCGGACTTGCGTCGATATTATCTAAAGTCTTGAAATGCATTGCTTTCATGACTCGGGGCAATAGGGTGGTTGTGAAAGCGTTGTCACATCAATGCGGGTCAGGTAGTTCTCGACAACGAAGGTGGTGTGGGCCAGCGCGTTGACGTGGTGAAGCTTCCATGGCGCACCGATCTCCTTTCGAACACGGGTCACCCTGTTGTTCAGTCCCTGGAGCCAGCCCTTGCTTGTAGAAGTGGGCGTTCTAAGCCGATCGAGGCCGTGGATTTTTAAGGGCGAAAAAATCCTTCGTACGCCTTCCTTCGGAGGGGAAGTAAAGCCGGCTATCCCATGTTAGTAGATTTACTTGCATGTAAAAGAACCTCAAGTCTAAATGACGCCTCTGAGCTAAATTCATATCGCCTTTTTCTCGCCCAAGAAATATCATCTTTCTCTGCTAGTTGGTGAAAGGAACGTAGCAAAATTCTCAGACGGAAGAGCGGAATTGGTCAGACGGAAGAGCAGGCCTCATGGCATGAGTCTCGCCACGTCAAATAAGGCATTAATTTAATTCAATTCAATTCAATTTAGGGTCTGTCCAGGAGGTACGAACTCACAGTGCACTACCCCCATCTGCCATATAGGCTCTTACTTCGCAAGAAGAAAAATTACTGTAATTGTACATGGGAAAACGGCGAATTTTGGACAGACATATTAATTCTGGTAAAAAAAGTGGATTAATGATCATCATGTACATCAGGCATGGGCAACAATTCGATCGCAGCATATTTTTGTGTAGAACTCTTTTATAATCCATTCCTAGTAATCCTGAATATCATATTTTGATGCGGTCTATATACAGGCATCGTATTAATAAAAACATATAAGGATTTTTTCTTGTAATGCTCATGCATAACAACTAAACAACATGCAACAAAATAATATTTGTGTTTCAAGAGGCTTAATTTATTTTGTGAAAAACAAAGACCTCCCTCTTTCTTTAGCATTCAAATTGACAGTGGTCGATTGCCTTAGCTTTTATTTATAAAAATATGTTTATAAATAAATGAATTAAAGTTGCAAAGTTGCCGAGGCTTGCAATATATACTCGTACTAGAAAATTTCATTCTATATCGCCTTGTGTAATCAGAACCCATGATTTATGGGTCCTTGATACTGAAAAATCGATTGACCTTCTATCTGTCCATATGCCTGCGGTCAACGCTAGCGCCTAAATCGTTCAGCGGATTTTCTCCTAAGCGATTCAAAGGAGCTCGAGGTTTTCTAAGTTTGAAACATATATTTGGTTTACACGAATCCTCTACATTTACATTTTCTTAAAAATGGCTTCAAATGTTTTTATTAAAATTCGGGTAGTGTAAAAGACGCTTCAATGGTTCAGGTCTCATTTTCATTTAAATTCTTGATTTTTGAAAATTGCAAAAGTTCAATATGTTTTGGCGACTTCCTACAACTACAATATTGAAGGAAGAAAATGTTTCCTTAATGGAACTGGTTTGTTAAAGACAGATGTTGAAATAAGTTAGAATTGAAATAAGTCAGATTTTTAGTGTTTTCGTGTAATTGTGAATAAAATGAATCAATTTTTTAAAATTTATTTTTCAAAAAAGAGCTTAATTTTTAAAAATTTAAATATTCTTCTTGTGTGTATCAAAAAACGATAAAAATGGGGCTAGTCTCATTTACGGAAGACTCCCTGAAATTTCAAAAACTGCAAAAAGTTAACATTTCAAAACTACAGAATTAAAGTTTCAGATTTTTGCAATAAACAAAATCTATTCTAAAAAGTAATACGATCTTTTGGAAGAAAAAATAGACACATTGTACATTTTTTTTTTGAAAAAAAAACGAGTAGTTCAGCTTGAAGTTAATGCAACTTATAATAAAAACATTTTCAAAAAATTGACCAAAAATTGATGCTTAAAAGAATTGCGTAGGTCTCATTTTCGATTAACTCTGTTTTTGAACATTCAAACGTATAAATGATAGGAGAAAGTATGTGCTGTTGTAGCTGCACGAGTTTAGAAAGAAGAAAAACCGTTCAGAAAATCATATGAATTTATCGGTAGTTACCGACGCTATATTCTTATTAACTGAGCTCTCCCACGGAGTTTTGAAGTAAAAGCGGACTTAAAATTAATATCGCATTTATGAAAAATGTTTAAATTACATGAAGAATGAACATCTAAAAATCATACTTACTACACATGCATCCTTTCCTGGAGTATAAGTGCATATACTTTGATACGTTACTTTAGGCATTGTTTTGCCACAATCACTGACGGATATTACAGATAGATCTACTTCGTATAATACTTCCGCCTGAAATAATTTAATTGTTATTAATTATTTTATTGCTATTAATTATTTTATTATTCATACACAAATCAACTATTTATACATCAATTCTTATTCAAAAAATCTAAAAAAAATGAAAAACGAATTGAATATGTGGATATTGTTTACTTACGAGGACCCAAGATCATTTTGGTTCGCCCTAGTCATGGTATCAACCTCATAGATTCGAATAAAAAAGTGAATTGGCAATGCAAGAACAAAAAAATATTTTTGTAAGCCTGTTTAACGAATAGCGTAACTGAAGTTAATAGTCTAGCTCTGAAGTTGAAGAAAAAATACCTGCGAGAGAAATAGTGCAGAATTTATCGTATCATACTATTAAGACGAATGGACGCTTCACTTCGCAAATAAAATTTAACTGTCTGAACCCGTGCGATTACATTGCACAGAAGGAAGTGTTGTAGAAACGATACGACAAAAAATAGTGCATATCTACAGTAAAATCTACGCCGGAATCGATCGGGACAAAAGGTTCCGGTTAAGGGAGGTTTCAGTTTTGTGCAGTGATGTCCATTTAACGACACTCGTGATATTTCAGTTCTGAAACTAGTAAATTAATGTACGTAAAGAAGAAAATAAAGTAAAGTAAAAATTACATGATTTTATTATGATTATTAAAATAGATTTACATAAAACTTATCTGTGGAAGATATCTCCAATAAATTAATATTAAACATTCTTTATTGAACGCTTCTGAGTTTATGTAGCTCCCATAACTTGGACCCTTTTATGTAGTTTCGGAGAATGTTTATGGTTTTCGCATAGTTAACCTGGTTGTGAAACTCCAAACACACTTCACCGTACTACCTATTGTCTGAAATCGGACTGCTTGCTGACTCTTTCAAGGCACAATGCGTCACAAACTAGAGTAATATGATTTCCTGATATCCTCGCATGGCCTTGATGCGTCTCTGGTCGAGGGGGTACGATTTTCAACGTGGGACAGGGAGGCGCGCTGCATGGTGTAGCAGTAAATCACACGTCGAGTTAACTCGCAGAACATGAGTTCGAGTCTCGGCACGGGAAAACAGTTTTGCTGGTTGAAAATACTTCTGCAGATTCATGTAGTAGTATAATATTACGAGGTCACTACGAATAATGCGAGATGTTGTGTGTTGTTGTAGAACAACTGGTTTTTATTTTACATTTTTTGTACGTTTCGTAAAACTTGTTTTACCACTTCACGTAAGCTACAAATGCTTCTGAAGGTATGCTACAATACTATAAGAAGCTAAATTTAATATTACTCACTCGTCAAATATTATTTAAAATGTATTTAATTACAAATTAACGTAAGAAATACATACCCCAGTAATTAAAAAAATCAAAAATTAAAATGTATTTTCAAAAGTTACATTTGACTAAATCCAACCAATAAAAGTAATAGAATCATTTTGCTGTCTTTCATTGCAAAGAACATGCGTGAATCAATATCTAGCTACAGATAAACAATAATACTAACAGTAAATATACACGTTTTATTATCATTTTTGGTAATCACCGATTTATGTTCCAGAACTTGAAACATTTCACAAGTTAACTTTTATGGTTATATTAGTGAGTTTTAAAATGATTTACACTTCTATCTTGTACAATCCTAAAAAAATTGCCTGAATATTGTTTTTAGAGCCAAAAATAAGCCGTAGATTATGGGTAGCGTCCTATTTTTTTCTGGCGTTACTGAGTTTCCTTTTAAGTTAGCCAAAATAAACATATGACGTCTGTTTCAATTTTCGCAACTCTGAATTCGGTTATATAAAACCTCCAATAATGTTTGGCCTTAAGCCTAAAAACAGCCTTAAATCTCGATTTGCTATCTTTAGGCTAAACCTAGCAGTGCCCATGATTTTGAGAAATCTACAAGAGCCTAAAAATTTGGGTATATACCATTTAATTAGGCTAAAATTAGCTTTTAATTTTGGATATGGATTAGATGGGTTTGTCTTTCGAGTGCCGCTGGCTTCTTAAAGTAATTTCTCTATATTTCAGATGTTACTTACAGATGGTCCTGTGGGAGTTTCGTGCGCGGCAAAAGACTGTGAAATGCCCCATCCTAGAGCTGTACACACAGTTCCAGTTGTGGGTCTGTTTGGAATTAACTTCACAAGTTGGACTTTTGGCGAGATGTCTACAGGCTGAGACAGCTTTGAAAACATAAGAGACATTAAGAAAAATGCATGATTACTTTATAAAAATAAGAAATGTAGATTAAAAATTTAAATTAGGGTAATTTTGTTACAGTAAGACCAATCCTATCACTGGAAGGTTTACATGTAACTTGAATATTTTAATATCTGCATTGTGTTATGTTCCAAAAATGTGCGCCCTTACAACAAAGCAATTCGTTGGTGAAATAAGTCCGAAGTGTAATACAATTGTAGCTGAACGACTTCGAAAAACACTTTTCTCGTCCACAATAGTGTATCACAGTGGCGTAGGATCAATGTATGCAAGTGATGCGTAACATCCCCTCTTTTCCCACCGCTTAAAAATGTTTCCAGTCAAGTATTTTACTTAGTTCCGTAAGTATCTCTTCTCTGTTTCCCTACTACCTCTCACCATTTACGTGCGCTGTCCAAATAGAGATAGTCCCCTCGCTGGATGTGCAGGCCGAGAAACATCTCTTGAACGACCTCCCTTCGTTGGAGAGGTCGTTGAACTCACAGCCATGCTTTGTGTGTAAGCTGTATGCGAGATGACATTGCTTCTCTCATCACAGGCTTCTCTCATTGGCGTTTGTGTATCCCCTCCCAAGAACCTTTCGAGCCCCCTTCTCTGACACAGTCATAATTCGGGCCTAGGAATCCCAGACGTCACTTGCCATTATTGTAGACCCCGATGCAGTTTCTAGCGACCACAAGTTTCCAATAGTGTTGGTCCTTCGTTCCAAGTAATAATTTAGAGTTATGGAATGTTGACGGGGAATGATATGCAACAAGTTACACCCGCCAATTTACACTCCACTGCGCGTATCACCTTCGCAACTCGCTGTTCAAGAATTATATATTACATTTATTTAGTGGTAAAACAATAGTTCACTGCTTCATTGTAATAATTTCAAATATCGGAGTCAAGTTAATCTTTATCTTATTCTCTATGCGTTAATCTTCGGTTCTCTCCGAAATAATAAATGCCAGCTGAAGTGGCTACAGACAAGCGCGAGTGCTCGGATCTCTGCTCCCCCATAGGACGGGAGTTATCGCGGGAGGAGTGTCACTAGTAGTGGAAAATGGAGTTGTAGAGTGAGTACTGGTCAGGCAGCGCCTTTGGCGAAAGGGCAAGCGATTAACTTGAGATACGAATATGCGAATATGAAGAGAATCCCGAAACTAATTAATTAGTTAAATTATACTATCAACAAAAAAGATAGAATTGCGTGTGATAATGTATTGATAAATAACATTCCTGACCCATCAACTGAGTTCACAGAAAAACAATTAACGGAAACAAGCAGAAGTAGCAAGTAGTGTGCTGGAACGTAAAGATCTTATGACGTCAATGGAGAAGATATATGCTTTAGGAAACTATGTAAGACCCATTATTTCAGAAAACAGCCACTACACAACATCAGACCTCGGTCTTTGGCCGTATACTGACGACATCTTACGGGAGTTTTGGGTAGGAAAAGGTTCCTCCGCTTGTTAAAATAAAGAAAATAATTTTTATAAACCGGCTTGTATATATCACTGAAAATAATATGGGCGAAAGATGACTTATTCAAGCAATATTCTCGCGAGAATAGCCAAACAAAGAAATTGTACAGAGAAAATGTGCATATTATTTTCTCACCATTGCCTGGTAGCTTATTTTAGTCGATCAAAAATAATCGAGCGAGTAGATAAACAGTTGATCACCCAATATAATACTGAGCAACAACACTGTAAAGAGGTGTTGAAAAGTTACTGCAGTAATTAAATTACTAGCATTGAGAGGGCTACCATAAAGAGGTTATAACGAAAGAGTTGGTTTACTAAAAAATGAAATTATTTGCGTATTTTGGAACTTATAAGTCAGTTTGACCCATTCTTACACGAATACGTAAAGAAATGTGGTAATGTAGAGAAAGGGATATCATCATACTTGTCGGCCACCGGGAGGAGTTCGTAGGAATAATGAGAACTACAGTTATTTCGGTAATCATTTAGGTAATCATTAAATTCAAAAAGCAAAATACTTCGCTATTTCTGGTGAGTCCACTCCGGATGTGACTCCTATTGATGAACTTACTTTTATAGTAAGATATGTGATAGACTCTTGTCCAGAAGAGCGATATTTGCAATTCCCATTCATAATCAGAACATCTTACTGAAGTTGTGACACATTTCTTCAAAACTAATAACATATCCTGAATTGTAGGGATCAGTCGTATAACAACGCACCAAACATGTCAGGGTAATGTTCAGAGTTACAAGCGAATATAAAAGAACAAAATAAATAAGTAGAGTATGCACCATGTAATGGACAGTCACTCAATTTAATAGGGGTGCATGATGTCAGGTGTGTTTTTAGCTGTGATTATTTACTTTGATTTGGTACAAAATCTTTATACCTTCTTTTCATCGTCGACACACCGCTAGGAAATATTTTATTCGTATTTAGGTCCTTCTCATAAAGTTGTGAAACTTTCAGATACTAGATGGTCTGCGCAGGCAGATACAGTAACTGCTTTATGTGAAGGATATAATGAAATCAGCTTATGTCTTTAGTCCATAAGAAATGATGAGGCAAATCAGTCGTCGGAGACACGTCGTAAGGCTCAAGGATTAGATAAACAACTTGAAACAGTTTTTTTAACAATATTGTGGATTGAAATTCTCAGTAAATTTATATCAGCAAGTAAACTACCACAAAATGAAAAAGTAAATTTGTCTATAGCATTTAAGATGCTGGCCATTGACAGTATTTATTAGGGAGACGAAAGATGATTCTGACGACTATAGGTCCAAATCAAAAGCAAAACCAAT